ACCTCTTTTAATCCACTCATGAACAGTTGATTTAGGCTTACCAATGGCAGCTGCTAATGATCTTACATTAGTCCTCTTCCGGAGGGGAGTGTCTGCTATAGCCTTTATATCCATCACTGCCCTTTTTCTGCCACTGTTTCCTGCCAGTTTGCTTCTCACATCAATGGCAATGCCCTGCTCTATTTGTTTCTTTGCAATGGCCCATATGTTGCTCACTGTTTTTCTGGACACATTATATTCTGCAGCAAGCGTGTTGATCTGCCCGTACTGAGCTGAGTATGAACCGTCTGCATTTTTCTTTGAATGTGAAAGTAGTGCTTCACTAATAATCTGCCGTGTTGTGTTGTCCAGCTTTTTGGTGTTTATGTGAGTGGTATTCATCAGTCTATATGTGTGCAGGCCTCCAGGAATTAGGGATGAAAAAAGAAAAAGGAATAAGGCTCATTGTGAAAGCATACTCCAGAAAAGGTTGCAGAAGAAAAAGAAGAAGAAGACAGAAGAAAAAGAAGAAGAAGACATGGGAGTGCAGGCCAAAAATGGAAATGAGTGGGGGGGTTTATGTAGTCAGTAATGCTTTAAAAAGCAGGAATTTAACCATTTTGGGCGGGCCTCCAAAAAATGGAGGGAATTGCCAATTTGTGTAATGTAATCCTTGATTTGATGTAACAATCCATGCCAATTTTGTAATCATTTCAAACAGTGGCAGTAGTTGAATTATTTAGGCCTTGTTTGGCCATGAAGTAACCAAATCTCAGTTTTTTAAAGTTTTCTTTCATTAAGGGCAGTTTTGGCATTTCACATGTAAATAAGGCACCCACTAAAAAGAAGGAAAAGTCAAACCGGGAAGTTTATTCCCGGACGGAGGGAGTAAAAAAAATATTTTGGGAAAAAGACTAAAGTAGGGCTAAAACATTGAAAAACTATCAAAATATGACTTCCATGTTTTTATTCTCGAAATAGAACTTAAAATGCATTTATATTATCAAACATGATCATGTACATTATCAAAAAGTATAGTAATGTGTACATGTACAGTGTAACATTACAACCATATTAGCACTGAAGTCCTATTTCGAGGGGAAAAAACATGAAAGTCCTATTTTGATACTTTTCTCTCTGTTTTAGTCCTATTTAGGATAATTTCTATGGATATTTTCGAGACTGGCCGTGGGTGTTTGCCATAACAAGTTATTTTCTCACCAGTTAGTGACTTGTTTTTAACCATCACATCAAAAATAATTTTGAAAAATAAACTTAAAAATATTTCTTCTTTATAAAGACAAAAAAAGAAGGCGTGCTAGCCGAGTATATATTCGGAGTATATAAAACATACCATTGGGATGAAGAAATTGGCCGGTGATGTAAGAAGAGCAATCGTTACTAGCCAGGAAGACATAGGAGGGGGCAACTTCAAAAGGCTCCCCTGCTCTCTCCATGGGCGCCTCCTCGTTAAACGCCCCCACCTTTTCCACCGGAAGGGAGACCACTTGGAGGGGGGTCCAAATGGGGCCGGGGGCGACGCCGTTGACTCTTATCCCCCGTTTCATGAGTTGCAGGGCAAGGCTTCTGGTGAAGGTGACAATGGCACCTTTGGTGGAGCTATAGTCCACCAGTGTGGCTTTACCGGTGTATGCCAAAACTGATGATGTGTTGATGATGCAACTCCCCTTTTCCATGTGTCGAAGTGAGTACCTAATAAGTTGTTTAATACATGCATCAATAATGCTCCTTAAAAAAATTTCCGTGACTTTTCAAAAATATCGTTGTGATGGATAAATTAGGATGAGATGGGTAGATCAATAGAGAAAAAGTGTGATGTGATAGGTAGGTTAAGAATTAATAGGGGTAAAAGTCATTTTTTAATAGGAAAAGAGAAGTATTTTTTGGGACGGATGAAAAAAGGAAGGGGAGGAGTTTTGTGGGACGAATGCAGTATGTATATATGTATATATATATATATATATATATATATATATATATATATATATATATATATATATATATATATATAATAAGATAAAATAGTTTAATGGGATGAGTATATATAGCTAGTGAATTGAATGATTTACCTTGACATGAAGAAATAAGGAAAGATGTTGGTTTCAAATGTTCTCCTAAGCCTTTCCTCAGTGATTTCCTCAATGCTCTCCGCGTAATACTGCACTGCCGCATTATTCACAAGGATGTCAATGCCCTTGAAACGGCCGGCCACCACCGCCTTACAAGCGGCTTCGCTGCGGAGATCGGCCGGCACCGCAATGGGCTCTCCGGCGTCAGGTGCCTTTGCGTCTTTGATCAATCTAAGGGCATCCTCCGCGTCCTGATCCTCCTCACCTTTGACATATGTGAATGCCACCGTTGCCCCTTCTAAGGAGAAGTAATAGCACACTGCCCTCCCTATGCCCGAATCGCCCCCGGTCACAAGCGCCACCTTTCCCTATCCAGCATTTTAGTATTCGTTGGTCTTCCAGATTTAGTCGTCTCCTTTTGCATACTCAATAAAAATAAAGTATTCCCTAATAAAGTTTACTAAAATTAACTTCTCAATTTGACTTTAGTAGTTAAACTATTGATCTTTAACCGCATATTTAAAAAAAAATTAAATATATTCATATAAATTTTAAATCAATAGAGTAATTTTAAAACAAAGTTTTAAAATATTTTATTTTTATAATGTATATTTATACTTTATCTACCTCATAAAATTTTTCAAAAAAGGCACACCCTGAAAATGTAGAATTTTGATATTATTTTCTAATTCTACACTTATTTTTTAAATAAGGATATGATGTATAGCATAGATAAGTCATATAATATAAAAAAATAATATCAAAACAACTCATTTCTAAGATGTTCTTTTTTTTATTTTGAAAAGTTTAATGGGACATAGGAAATATATATAAATAAAAATATTAATGATCAAAATGTTGCATTGGAAACCGTTGGAAATCAAATAAAAATTTAATTTTAGGACGATGGAGCAACAACTAAATTGGGACAAAAGAGGTGTCACATAAATACACTAATTGTTACGGAGTACTACGTATTATATTAAAAAAAATGGTTGCTTTCAAAATAATAATAAAAAAAAGAGAAGGGAAAACTTACAAGAAGCTTGTTAGAAGGGGTGTAATTGGGATTGACAGAAATGGGGAGAGGGTTCATCTGGTACTCTTTCCCCGGCTGAGTTTCTTGGTGCTGTGCCGGGTATCTTCTTTTTACTCCACCCATAAGATCTTTTTCTTCATCTCCCATTTTTTTTTAAGTTTAATTTATTTTTGCACTCTATGTATATACGTCGTACTCCACTAATTAGATATATAAAACTAATTAATTAAAATAGCATACGTAATAATACTTATAATAACAATAATAAAAGACGGATTGATCATCGTAGATACTTATATATAGTGTGATCCGATTCTTACGAGTGTTTTTTCATGGGAATTGAAGAGAGTTAGAGTCATGGCCGGCCAGCCTTAGTTATCGCCTACTAATCCAGCATGCAGTGTGTGATTGAAATTAATTAACACATGTGGCCGAAAAATATTTAATTTGAATAAATTAACTTAATGATTTTCTTATTAAGAGAAGATCAAATTTTATTTAGAAGAAACAAGATGAGAATTCTGAAAATTTATTTTTGGACGAAAAGAGTATATTCTTTTGTGCTCTACTTCCTTCCTTAGCTAATTCATACTCTCTTTGTCCTAAAATAATATTCCTAATTCGGTTTATGAGATTTGACTGAAATTGTTTTTAATTAAATTTATTTGATTATATGTGGTAAATTTAAAAATAAAAAATATATATTTTAAAATTACATCAAAAGATCTACAAGACAGACATTACTATATTATTTTATCAATTAACTAACGCAAATAGGTAACGAAAGTGATTAAAGGTTGACCATGTGAAAAGTGACCAAGAAGATCGTTTTAGGACGGAAGGAGCAAATCAAACTCGTGTTTAGGCCATAAAAAGAAAATTACTTCTATTTTAGTATTTCCATCATGTTTATTTTGATTTAAGGAGTTTTTCTAACATAATCATGTCACCACTTATTGTTTTATACAAAAATTCATTTTTAAATTTATGTCAACCTTTGAAAGGTTGATCCTAGACATCTACTTCGTGCCTTTGTATCGTTTTAAATTCGAGAGATTTACTTTTAGAGTTATTGCTCGGGAAGTGTAGTTCAAATGGCTCAGAGGGTAGCGTTACATGATTTCACACGAGTTTGAATCTTAACAACTACTAAAAAGTATGATCATGCTAAGCATTAGGTTCTCGTAACTACCACAGACATATTCCACATTCTCTTCACAAGATTAAGATTTAAATTTTCTCAGACTACGATCCAAACTAGTTCTATAGGATTGGCTATAACCATTACTCAACAATGCTCGTAGTGGTGTGCAATAACTAGAAAATTAATCTAGGGTACCATCACTTTTTTTGGTAAGAACTAAAACACCACATTATATGATCGAAAGTTTTGATCCATTAATTACTGAAATTTTGTGATAATGTATTCCGAAGGTAAACTTTGTCCATTTGACCGTTATGATTGAAAGTTCCATTATTTTAACAAATTAAATATAAAAAAATACACCCCGGATGCCATCAATTACATTTTCTACTAAGAACTCATAGGTCCCATTAATTAAATTTTAACTGGAATAATCATTACTTTATTAGATTTTAATAAAATCTTACGGTCTTTGAGTTAATATTATCTTAGTTTTTATTAAAAAACTATTACATTATTTAATTTAATTTTCATCACAAAAACTATATTGAAACACAAAATTTAGTTCATTACTTTAAAATATTATTTAAGCTTTATATTTAAAAAAAATAAACTATTTATAAATTTTAAATACATTAACTCATAAAGTTAAATTATTTTATTAAATATTTTTAAAAATTACATACGGAGTATTTTATTTCAAAACACATTTCCATTTTTATTAAATATTTTTAAAAATACATATTTTATTTCAAAACACATATTCATTTTACATCAAATTTATAATTTTATTATACATATATTCAAATTTCATATATTTAAAAATTTATAAATACGTTTTATTCAATTTAAAAGTACTTTTAAAATTGTAAATACATTAAATTTTAAAAATATAAAGGTTAAATAAATTTTATAATGAACAAACCGATTTTTTTGTGTTGAAAACATAAATAAGGTAATACTCCCTCCGTCCTAAAAAAAGATTACATTTCATTTTTTTGTACATCCCAAAAAACAATTCTATCCACATCTAAAATGCCGAAAAAATACCACATTTACCCTTCATTGTGGGTAGAAGTCGTTTTGAAAGTTTTTTAGGCGTTTGAGACGATATAAAGTATTTTATGGGATAGATGGAGTAGTTTTTAATAATAACTAAGATAATACTCATAATTATTTAACTTAAAATTGGAAGATTTTCTTAAAAATTAATAAACTAAATAACCAATGATTGTTCAAGGTAAAATCTAGTAATATGAGAATTGCGAGTTCTTAGCAAAAAATATGACCTAGTTTAGAGTAAATTTTTTGATGTTTGATTTGTCAAAGTAACGAAATTTTTAATCTTAAAGGCCAAATGAGCAAAATGTACTCTTGAAATACATTATGACAAATTTTAAGGACGCACAGGGTATATTTAAAATAAAGGCGAAGGTATTTACAAAAAAAATGGATATAAACTAGGGGTGGGCAAGAATTACGATCATGTTTTCTCGATCCAAAATATCTCGGTCTCATCTCTATAAAGTTTTATTTTGTTTGGAATGACAAAATTTTATCTCGAATCCATTCCGTATCATTTAAAAATGGGACGGGACCAAGACACATAAATATGTTCCCATTCTGTCCCGTTGTACCGTATGTGTGTGTGTGCACAAAAGTATGTATGTATGTATGCACAAAAAAGTATTACATATTTTGTTTTTCTCAAAATAAATAAAATCAATATCTCGATTCAAATATTATGAATAATTGGAATTGGACCGGAACACCTCAAAACCTGGTCCATTTTGACTCGTGCCTACCTTAATTTGTGGCTTATAGTTTTTATAAAGCTTATAGTTTTACCTTTTGACAGATGTTGTTACATTTTCTTTAATGTTGCCTTATTGTTTTTGGCTTCTAAGATTTCCTAAATAAATATTTAATTTTTTTCATTACTTTTCAAGTCAAATTAGGTTGCCTCCCCATTGTGTATTTTATACTTTTATATGCAGCTCGAATAATGACAAAGCAGGACGACGCGAACTCGTTCCATTTTATTCAATTCCAAATATTAAGGGGGGTGTATTCAATCCAGATTTTCTAAGATTCTGATAGATTGTTTAAAATCTATAGATTCTGTAAAATCAATGGATTATTTTAAGTCTGCGCACAGTTAGTGAGATTTTATTGCATTTATCAACAGGATTTGAAAGGATTCTAGTATATTATTTATAATCCATGAATAATTTTAACATAAATTTGATTTAATTTAAAAATCTATACATTACCCTAATATTAATTATACTTATGAAATTGATCAAAAGCTTAAAAATAATAATAAAATAAAATAAAAATAATTTTTTTAAACATTATTATTATAAATTTATTAACTTAAAATAATTTATTAATTATTTTCATAAGCAATAATTGTTTTTGAAACTCAAAGCATTATAGTTTCTAAACAATTTTTCAAGACGGGAGAAATTTTATCAATAAAAAATTAAAGACAACACAAAAGATAAAAGACATTACTCAAAATTTGAAGAAAATTTAAAATAACACACATAAAGTCACATAACACATTTGAAATAAAGTCACATAACACATTTAAAATAAAGTCACATGATCCTTTCAATAATCCCAATATATCTTCTCATTTTATTCTCTCATCTTGTGG